TTACCTCTTTATTCGGGTCTTCCAAGTAGACTTCCGTCCTCCTACCTGGTTCCCATGATTTACATGGCCTAAGGACTTATCTTGGATTCACACCGCCCAGTACCAGTTTGTGTTCCTTTATACAATGTTGTATGAATGCCTAGACATTCCAGTCAGGCTAGTATGACATGGGTTACAGGCATCCTGTCTCAACCAATCACAGAAAACAGTTAGCTGTAACACAAAAAGAATTGCAAATTTTTACTGTTACTGGGATTTGAACTCTAGATCTGCCACTTAGGAGTTAACAACCTATCCACTTCACTAAGTCACCACACCCTATTTTATCTCTTTATATAATACTTATATTAATGATTATCTTAAAAAAAAATTCTTGAATTTATAAAAAACTTGAAGATAAAAAAAAAATAATCAGGTTTATAGATAATAATACATCTAATAACCAAACTTATCTGCATTAATTTTAGTAATATATAACTCTAAACTTATATATATATACTATGTAATACATATTCTAAATATTATAATAAAAGAAAAATAAAAACTTTTTTTTTATTATTAAACTAGCTTCTTTTGAAGCTAGAGTTTTTTATTCAGTAGTTAGAATATAAAGACTTATGACCAAAGCCTTAAAGGAGTCTTTTTATATTAGAAAGTACAACTAATCATATATATACTTTTGGTATTTAATTAAGTAGTCTACTGATGGTTCTATACTAGCTGCTATATCTGCAACCCAACTAGAGATGTTACTTATTTAAACCCTCTATATTGCAATCCTTACTGTATCACTAGATCATCTTCACTATATAAACCAGTCAAGAAGGTTTAGATGCTTACCTATATCTTTAGGATTCTATATCTTATTTTATACAGTATATTCTCAGAAGCATCATTACTAAAACCTTTTGCGTTTCATATATAGCTAACCTAGTTTTATATAACATGCTATAGTTACCTAACACTTGCAGTTAGGACTAATTTTAAACTGCTATATTATATTATTTCTATTTTTGTAAAGTTCACTCAAATCCTAGTACCTATTCTTCTAACATCTTCTTTATTATTCTCTACTAACTACAACTCAGAATTGACAGACTCTTTAGATTTCCAATTCAGATGGCCTGATATGATATACTTTAGTATCCTTTTCCTCTGATGATTCTAACAGCCTAGTTGGTTATATGCTTCTCTATATATCTTGTTATCTAGTTTATTTACTTGTTCTTATAAAGGTGTTTTATAAGCTTACATCAACCTAACAGTACTGTCAAAAGTTTGTGCTACCTCTTTATTTAGGAATTTCTAAGTAGAATTTCATCTTCTTAGTTTCTTAATCTTCTGCATCTAGTAGTCTTATCATAGATTTGCATTAAAGTCTTATGCAATACCAGTTATTAACATTTCTTTATATATATATATTATGTAATATTATACTTTACATAGATGTCCCAAGCTTACAATAATAAGTAAGACCCAACTTGGTATATCTGAATTATAGTCACATAAGACCAACTGATTGACAGAAGACAGTTTCTGTAATACAAATTAATTTTTAAATTTCATTATAAGTGGGATTTGAACATTAGATCTGTCACTTAGAAGATGGCAACCCAACCATTACACTAGGATCACCATCTTTCAAAAACTATTTTTAAATCAGATAAAAAAAACATAATATCTATATAATAAAATTAAAAATTTACTATTGATCTTAGAAGATATTAAAAAAATATCTGCTATTCTAGATCATTCATCTTTTTATCCTAAACTGAACATTGATATATAATGAAATTCTACCTACTTTATGCTTGAATAATTTATTAAAATTAAGAATATTATTGATAATCTTATACAATCATATTCTAATTTAAAAAGTGAATATTTAGAACAAAAAGATTAGAATATAATTAAAAACATATTAAAGTTTCTTTAGTCTTTTTGTGAAATAACATTAATACTTTTAAATGTCTTATTAAATTTTCACAAGTCTTTTTAAATAATTGTTTAAAATCTTTTTGTTCATTTAAATTATTTTATTTTAAATAATAATACATATTGTAAAATAACAAAAAAAATGAAAATAAAGTTAAAAAATTATTAATCTTACTTTTTACAATCTTTTATGATTTTTGTACTTCTTGATTCATCAATTAAACTTAAAACCTTCAACAAAAAGAAATACTAATTAACTATAAACCAGTTAAGAATTTTATGTTCAATATATAACATTAATAAGATAATTATGTCATCTAAACAAAGATGTTTATTAGATAATTTTTATAAATTAATTTAAACGAACAAATAAAAATAAAAATTTAAGAGATTTAATAAATGAAATAGGCATTTATTTTGCATTACCCTTAGAACCGGATATGAGTCCACTAATGTGATGAAAGCATCATTCTTCTCATTTTCCAACTATAACTACTGTCACAACAGATTACTATACACTTCAAGTTACAAGCATTCCATGCAAATGTGCCTTATCCATTGTGAATCATACAATTAATCTTACATGAAACTGTCTTAAACAAATAACTAAAACTTCCTTGTGCTTAAAAAATTGATTGAATGCTAGTGTTTTAGAATGAATAAAAAGATGTATATTATGAATACTATGAATAAAAATTAGAAATTTTTTTACAAATAAAATTTAAAGTTGCTGATATTTCACATGACATGGTGAGTTTGGTTCAATTCGGACTCAGAACTGAGTCTATATTAAGACTCGACTCATGGAGTCAAGTCGAACCGAACCGAACTTTTAACATCTCTAAAGTGTACAAAAATAATTTATTTTTCGGGAAGAGAACTTGTTTAAAGGCGCAGTAATCATGTAAGCGTAACCTCGAGGCAGGGACACGAAACTAAATTTTTAAGAGTGACCAATAGCAATAGGTCTTTATGCTGACCAATAAGAATGTGTTTGCAATATTATCTACTTTTGATTTTTTTTAAAAAAATATAATTAAAAAAATTAATAGAAAAATTTTTTTAATTATGAATTTATATATACAATATTAAATTTATTATCGGTTTTAACTAAAAGTATCAACATATTAATAATTATGTTGTAAGTAATCTCAGTAACCTATCTATACTACATACCATTCGATCGATTCAACCATCTAGCTCGTTTATTTAATGGTATTAGACCATCTAACACTTCAACTTTACCCTCCGGATTATTTATGTTTCCCCATAATCTAGCAGGTGACTTACGTTTTTTTTCTAAATAATGATTCCAATAATATTCATTCTCAAATATTGCCATTTGTAAGGCTTCGTTATCTTTGTTTCCACTTTTAATACACTTTTGAATGTTATATTCTTTCTCCGTAAAGATAGTAGTAGTGTGTTGATTAATTCTGTTACTAGTTATAGTATTTTTGTCCACGCAAAAATTTTGGCAATTTATATTCTTGGAAGGAAATAAAAATGAATTCAACAAGTCACCACAGTCGCCACATAATAGTTTACTAGAAGACTGTTGTTGATCCGAGTTATTAATAGTGTTGGTACGATTGGTAGTTTTTTCACCACATTGAAAGCACTGTTTTGCCCGTGATGAGGGTACCATACGTTCGACCGTCGATGATTGATGCGGTTTATCGGTAGATGTTATTAATGCTGAATTATTTGTCGATATGGTTAAATTTGAACTGGTGTTGATGGAAAATTTGTTATTATTTGTGGTAGTGATCGAAGATATGGAGGTTTGGATCTGTGTTGTTGGTAATGAGTGATGAGATGGTAGGTGTATTTAGACAATGATAAGATTGGAAGAACTTTAAGGTACGTGTAATAGATAATAAAGTAATTGGACCAAATTCTGTATATGTCAAACAAGCAAATGAATTATTTGCTGTCTCCTTGAAGAGTAATTTACGTAAAGAGAAAATAAAATTTACTTTTTTGCTTGGTACGGAGATGCTATCTTTTCGTTGGCTACCATTGTTGTTTTCCCTTTTTGCATTACCCGGACCATCCTTATTGACATTCGCCTGATCTAGGACTAAAAATTAAATATCGACGCATTAGCATAAGCTAAAAACTTATAACAAAATATTTTTTTATATAATCCCCTGTCGCACTAAGTGCCACTCATGACTACCTTCAGCATAATTCTTTACATGTGAATAACCATATTTATAATAATAATATTGTGACTGGGAATCTTCCCATGGAAGGTTTAAGTTGTTATATGCTGGGCAAAAACTTTAATAAAAGTCAAAGTAAATAGTATAGTTCATTACGTGATAAATTATAACACACAAAAAGTAAAAAAGCAAAAATGATAAGTAAAATAAAGAAAAGCGTAAAGCGAAGTTCAAAAATAGTAAAGCACAATACGAATATAAATATGGAATTACGTGCAAAAATGATGATATGGTAGTCCAACTAACATCTAGTGACACGCTCCTGGGGATTATTCATATTCATTATGAATCACGTGAACAACATACCATTGTTAGCGCTTTCTTTTCGTACGTGTCTTTTCGTAATAGTTGTAGAATCTTCGTCCCCGGTATTAGGACCATCAGACAAATTATTCCCATTAGCACCGGGGGCACCAGTGCTTACACTAGCACCAGAGGTATCCTCATTACGAATCCACTTAAACACGGGAGGTACCACACCTTTTTCAAAATAAAGCGTTGCCAAAGTAACAGCTTTGTCTCTTTGAAAGGCTTCAGAATTTGGACCTTCCATATATGTTATATATGGTTCGATTTTTGGGTCAAATGGCTTTTGATCTTTTTCCGGTACTATAGAATAAGAACCATCTTCGAAATAGCAAACTAGGCTTTCTCCATCACTTGGATACTGAACGTCATTGTCCATTTTTTGTTTAAATATTTCGATTTCTTTTCGCGGAACAACCTTTTATTTATTTATTATAATTAAAAAACGTAAGTAGGTTAGAAAATTGTGAAGGCAATTTATGTGTCTTAAAATAGATCATGATTTGTTTTAATTACTAACTAAAGCCGGCCACCAGTGAGGAGCATCAGGGTCGTCAGGATCGACAAAGACTACTTTTCTTCTATGGTGTTTTGGTTCATTTAACCGTCGGTTATTAGATCTGACTTCCATAATGTTGAGACTTTATTACTGCAAGTGAAATCAAATTTTTTGAAATTTATTCTTGTATTCAAGTTCTTGCGTTACTGCCACGCACGTCCGTATGTACGTACGTACTGAGAACGTTTAGATTGATACTATTGATATTCAAATTGTTGGTCATAAATCATATGATAAAATTAAACAACGATTGGATAATCAAAATTTAAGATCAGGTGTGAAAATTAATAAAATCTTAACATTTTAAGAAAATTCTTATCAGGGAGATGCTTTTTCAAAAACGTATTAATAAAAAATTATCTAATTTAAGTGAAACTTTCATGATATATGTGTTTTGATCTCAAAAACAACTTTATTTAATACACAAATGTCGATTTACATAGCAAAGTTTTGACTTTACTATGTAAGTGATCCAGTGCAGTTGTTAAGTGTCGCTCACTATATCAACCAAATTGTTTCGTTTGATCGTTCAAATCACTATAACTATGGTCTTTTATCATGCAATATTGGTTACAATTAATGAGATTGACTATTTAAAATTTTATTCGGGAAAATATTGTTACGACTCAAAAAAAAATTTGTAACTATGAATTATATAACCAATACTCGTAACCTACACCCAATACTCATAACCTACACCCAATAATCCCATGAATTCAATTCTATTATTGCAATTTCTAAGTAACGTTTATATATTTAGAAAATTCGTGACAATATACACATGACTTTATTGTATATCTTTTAATTGGTTAATATTAACTACTATATGTGCATTAACATTATATTTATTCCCTTGAAGTCATTCTTCAGTGGAATTTTTCAATTAGAACCACTGGAAATGGAAAAATCTAAAATCCAGTGAAATTCTAAAACCCAGTCAGCAACACTGCTCAACAACACTCTCTTGATTTAAAGATTCATTATTGTTATTATTTAAGGATTCTACGTCAGCCTCTCCAAATCCTGAATCCATCCTTTCCTTCTTTTTTTGCTCGTACCATCGATGCTTACGTTCTTTGCTCTTTAAAATTGATAATTCCTTAGCAATTTCAGTACGTTCTTTTTCGACTTCTTCTAAAGTCAATTCTACTTTTGCTAAACCATCCGGATCACCCGTTTTTAATCGTTTAAATTCTTGTGTAACAGTATATTGTGTATCTTTAATCTGCAATTTACGTTCAAGCTCTGAGATGCGTGCGTTACGACTCTCACTATTCTGAGCAGCGTGTGCATTTCGTTTTTGTATAAGGGTCGCGCGAGATGTTTTCACCCCAGGTTTTGGTGCATTTGGATTCAATTTAGATCTAGATTGGCCTCGCTTATACGTATAACCTTCTGACAGAAGCTTAGCCTTCGCTTTCTCGAACAAGGTACCTTTGTTGGCAACCAAAGCAGGGTCAATAAGTGCCAACTCAATAGCTGCTCGATTAATTGCTTGTTCATATGTTGTCAATTTTCTAGGATTATTCTTCCCGTAAATCGTTGCATGATGTATAATAACATCTTTTGAAGTGGTTTGTGTTGAATTCGTGATCGATGACGGTATGGTAGATGAAATCGGATGGACATCCTGCATTACATTCATAGAATATTCTTGAATCTCTTGAATTGGTGATCCAGCAGATTCTTCTGCGTTTGTTCTATTTGGAGATACTTTCATCTGTGATGCGTCCATTACCGCCGATGCTTTATCACTTACAGAGTATGATATGTCAGTTGCTTCCCCTAATTTGCCTAACTTATTACGATTGTTTGATTGAATCTCCTGAATAAAATGTTTTTAAATATTTTAAGATTTTGATTAAAAAAAAAAAATCCAGTAAATAATAGTAAATAAAAATAATAATTACCGGAGAAGCAGAAGGAAATGTTAATGTTGAGAACGAGTTAGTTGAATGATTTGTCATTAATGAAGACGGACTTGCAGTATGGGATTGTCTGAGTCCTCTGATCCCTTTTTTGAAAGCAGCAGAATGGAAAGGTTTCATCGAGATTGCAGATAATACTTCTTTTAATTCAGATTCGTCAAAACCCATAAATTGTTCAAGGTCATTTTCGCCAACTCCAGCTTCAACAAACAAATTATGATATTGGGAGAGATTTAACTGGTGAAGAAAAGCAGTTAAAGTAGGGCAGCGATAAACAGAAGTAGAATTTGTAGTTAAAGGAGGAATTTGATTTGTGATATAGTAGCCTTGAGGTGGATGAGAACTGGGAGGACTATCATCAGGAAGTGTATCTTCCTGTGTAGAAGCAGGAGTAGGTTGCATCCTGGTAGTCTGAATTTAAAAAAAGTATAATAAGGTTCGTCATATTTTTGTTTAAACGAAATATAAGATTACAAGAGTTAAAAGTTTAAACCGACTTAACAAATGTCAAAATAATAGTCAACCAAACTGCTCTGACGGTCTTTGTCGTTTTTTTTTGTTGAAGGTCAAAGTTTAGTAGGTTTGTCAATTGTCATAAATATTCTGGCAAAATCATAGATGTAACACAGTTTGTTTGGATCATAGTTTTTAAATACGAGTGGCCAAATTTAAAATGCATAATTTCTGGTGGCATTATGTAGGCATTATGCCATAACAGTTCCAAATAGGGATGGATCGGTCCGTCCCGGTAGGTCTCGGTCCCCTTTGGGCCGATTTTATAAGTATTTGGTTCGTCTGATTGGTTAATAAATTCAATTTATTTATACAGTTTAGAATAGGTCTGTAGGACTCCATAGTCAAAAATAAGATCTAATTCTCATCCGTTTTTAAAAAATTGATTTTATCGGGCTTTGAGAAGTTATTACTAACTTTTTTAAACGGATCAGAATTAGATCTTATTTTTGGCTATGGAGTCCTACAGCTCTAATGAGACCTTCTATACAGCTTTTTTATTCATTAAGATTAGTTTCTAAACTGTATAAATTCTGTAAAATTAAATTGGAATCGGTCCTACGACCAATGTTATAAATTCAAAACTTTCATAGTGCTGAAAAGTTACGTATGTACGCGCATATGTACTGTATAATTTTGTAATTTTATTATATATATATATATTACGTATGCCGAATATGCTGAATTCACAAGCTTAATCTAGTCGGCCGAAGCATCATTTACCAGGTGTTCCAGGAATTATGAACTTAAAATTTTTATTAACTGACAAAGTTTTAGATACATATAAATATAATTATGTATTTTATACACGAAGCTAATTTAATATTAAGAATTAAATACATAGTGAAAGATATATTTAACTATCTAATTCATATGTGAAGCTAATTTAATATGAGAATTAAATACATGGATATTTAACTATCTAAATTGCAAATTCATATACGAAGCTAATTTAATATTAAGAATTAAATACATAGATATTTATTCATCTAATTTGCAAATTCCTTTTTGAAGAGTCGTCATCTAATCTATTTCTTGTAGTGATCTGCTATAGAGAATGGTATCTTGTATAGCTAAATAATCTCTTGCGATTAGGCTTAGAGGCTTAGAGTAGAGTATTCTGTTTGCGCTTACCATCATACCAACGGATGTGAATTGTCTTCTAATGGTAATAGTAAATATTTCTCTAATTCATTTAATAGCCTACTTGATTGTTTATTTGTAAGTGATGTAGAAGCGGATGAAATAAAAGAACTGGTAAATTTTTGTTATCGCTTATGATGAAAAAGTTATAAAAATTCTATTATTTGTTATAATTTTTAATCAGTAGATGTGATTTATCGTCATACCATAATCAGAACCAGAATCAGACGATTATGGACCAAGGACTGAGAATCATTTCGGTCCTCTGTTTTTTACTGTCCGGTCTCGGTCTTTATAAGAACCAATCCATTCCTAAGGGGGACATCCAAAGCAAAGATAACTTATATTATCTTATAATGATGATTATGCTAAAAATTCTCATATTTGGTTTTTTTTTTGGTGTTAAGGAATTCTCATATTTGTATAGTTTATGTTACCACTGTTTTATCACCTTTTTTTTGGTTTTTAAAATAATCTACATGAAAAAAATTTAATTGAAAAAATATAATATGGGGGTGAGTTAATAGAAAAGAGACAAATCATTTTCAGTGAAATTTTTTTAATTTTTTAAATCAAAATAATTCAATAACTATTTAATCAAATTTACTAAAAAATTTTTTATTTTAATTTTGAATTTATATAAAATTAAAATAAAATTAATAAAATAATTGTTGAGATATTTAAGCTTAAATTCAAAAAACATTTATTTAGAAAAAATTTATCTTTTTTCTATTGACTTATTTTATATATATGCTTATATAGTTTAATTTGATAATGTAATTATAAATATTGTTACAGAATTGCAGCCTTCTTGGTACAATACAACCAAGTAACAAGGTTACCTAGTACAGTGATTAACTATTGCAAATATATATAGAATAAAGATGTAATACTTCACTTTATTACACAATAGTAGGCAAACAGTTTGAGATAATAACAATATATAGATTAATTTTATTAAATAAACATATAATGACAATCTTGCTTATAAAAATTACTCTAAAGAGAGAATATTACTTTTACAAGTTAGAAATAAAAGTAGAAAAGTCTAGATCGAAATATAAAAACTTAGAATTAGTTGAAAAAGAAAAAAGGTACCTTTTATATATCTTTTTATCTAGCAAAGATAGTGAGAATTTGAGCAACAAGAGTGTGATGACCTAATGAAGTAGATAGGTTGTCAACCTCTAAGTGGCAGGTCTAGAGTTCAAATCTGAATAACAGCAAAATTTTGTAATTCTTTTTGTATTATAATTAACTGTCTTCTGTGATTAGTTAGAATAAGATATCTGTAACCTATATCATACTAGTATGACTGAAAGGTTTAGACACTCATACAATGTTGTACAAAGGAACACAAACTGGTACTGAGCAGTATGAACCTAAGATAAGTTCTTAGTTTATATAAATCATAAAAACTAGGTAGAAAGATGGAAGCCTATTTGAAAAATCTGAATAAAGAGATAATCTGAACATTTGATGATGCTATTATAAAGACTAAACTTATAAAATAGAGCTAGAACTTGTGAAACTGAACAAATATACTGATCTTTAAGAAAAAATCAGATAAACCAATTAGGTTACCAGAATTATTGGATTTTAGAGAAAAAAAATATATATTGACAAACATGTAAACCAAAGATATATAGTTATGACTTACCTTTTCAGGTTATCTAACATGACAGTTTAATGAAACTTGAATTAAATACTAAAGTAGTAAGAATATGTTGTCAAGTTAGTACCAGAGTTAGGATAAATTCTATAAAGGCATAGTAGTTTAATAATATATTTTGACTGCTAATATTGGTCTTAGCTATAGTAATACTAGGTCAGCTGTAAAAATAGAACATAGAAGATTCTGAAAAATTTAGTACAAGGTTAAAAGTTTCAAAAAATTACTTTAAAGACTTAGTGACTATGGCATATTTTCATCAGTATTAGTCGGAGTTGTTGGTAGATAGAGGTAAATAGATAAATACAGAAACTAGAATAATTAAATAAAAAATCTACAAACAGATTTCAGATATAACAACTAGTGTAGAACCTTTGAGTGAACTACTTAAATTAAACAATAACTAAAATTGTATAAATGGCTAGTTGTATACTCTTTCTATAGTTGCTCTTTGTAGTTGTAATACAACTATTAGCCAAATATACTATCAATAAAATTCTGAATCACAAGTACTTACCTTAATATTTAAAAAATAAAAAAAGAAAATTTAAGCAATATTATTTGATATTGTATTCAGAATAATAGGGTTCAAATAATATTAGATATCATTGTACTTGGAATAGTGAAGATTCAAACAACATTAAATGATATTGTAACTTAAAATAATAAGGATTATATAAAAACAACTAGAAATATTGTTTATATTATTTGTTATTTGTGTTTGAAATACTTGGAGCTTATGTTTAAACACTTGAATCTGTACAAAGTCATTTGAGATTTATGTTAGAATACTTGAGATTTGTATGAGAACACTTGGGATTTGTGTTAGTGATATTTGAAATTTTTGTGTTACAACACTTAGCACAGTAATTTGGTTGTGACAATCAATAAGAAGATTAGTAAGAATATTAATAATAAATAAAGAAAGTAAGAAATGTAAAAGTAAATGCTTAATTATAGTTATTGGCTAATTATAGTTAAAATTATTTATATATTTTTTGTATAATACAAAAAAAATCTAAAAAATACAAAAATAACAGTTTAAATCTATCTTAATAAGTTAAATAAAATGTTAAAAAATAATTATATATATATATTCTTATCTAAAACTCAGCTTAATTTTAATTTTAAATAATTCTAACCTTAAAGTTAAATTAAAAAATCTAATTATTGCATAGTAGTTATTAATAGTTATTATTATTATTTTTTTTTAATATTAATGGTGGTTATTAATAGTTATATATAGGTTATATTATCATTTCTGATATATTATATTTTATAAAATAAATTAAAAAGCTTATTAATAATATTAAATCTAATGACTGTTATTTTAAACTATACTTTTAAGATTATATATACTATAATATTAAGATTTTAAAATAATTTATTATATTTTAATTAAATATTTTTCTTATCAATTTACAAATTTATAAAAAATATTTAAATTATTTAGTTTTTAATTTATAACTTTTTTTTTATTATGCAACTATATTTTGTCTATTAAGTAAAAATGTTCTTTATATTATTTTATATTTAGAATAAAATAATTTATAAATAAGTACTTATAAATATAAAAAATATAGTAATTTTTTATATAAAATATACTTATATAACAAGTTTATAAAATTAATAAATAATATATTTTTAAATAATATAAATATAAAATATATATTAAAAGATTTTTTTTTGAGTATTCCTATTGCTTCAACAATTAGGAGCGCAGGTGGTGCTCTTTATTAAGATATTATTATATTAAAATATTGTGATCAGTTTATATATATTTTAGATATTTACAGATTAGTTTAGCAATTTTAAGTCTATAATCTAGTGTGTTATATTTTAAAACACATATTTTTTTTGAAATACAGGCTTTAATTAGTATACTAAGTGAGCTTAGAGAAGTATCAGAACCTCTCCATTTTAGTAAAGTATATTGACACCAGATTTTATAGATTATATTGATATGTAACTAGGTTATAGTGGTTAATGCTTAGGTGCAGTCAATATTGAAAACTTGAAAGATCTTTTCTAAAGTAGTTGGTAAAAATTTTCTTCATTAATGTTAAGAAACTTATATGTCTTTTTCCAGATTGTTCTACTTCTAGAATATTCTAAGGCAAAATGTTTAAGAGTTTGTAGCTCTTCTGGGTACCAAATACAGTCACCTGTTTCTGATAGACCAATGTGTTTAAGATGGTAACCTAGAGGAAGAGCTCTGTGAAAAAGATGCCAGAAAATATCTTTTTTTTATTGCATATAGACTTTAAAGAAAGCCAAATAGGTTGAATAGACTGAAGAGCAGAATAAACTAAAATAGGAGAAGGTGTAGTCCTTTTTAAGAGCTCCAAAATTTTTTTAACTGAGAG